TATTAAAACACGATTATTTAAAAAATATGAACCCTGAGAAATTGTTGAAAATGAAAACTTCCACTTGTCTTAAAACAGACACAAATGAAATTTTGATTATTTCCCACATTCCTTAAAAGATAGTCAAAGCTCCCGTTTTTGAAATTATTCCTTAACCCGATGAAAATAACAATATTTTAACAGAAAATATACTTTATAAATATTTTCTATATGAAGATAAAGTACTTAATAAAGAAACAGGGAAAATTGTAATTGATGATTGTATAAATAAAACAATTAGACAGGAACCCACTGAATGCAAATATACTAAAACTTATAAAAATTTCCAAATTAATTATGTTGAACCCAACATTTTATTGACATAGAATATCTCTAAAACATTGCTGAATCAAAATTGCATTAATAAAGAAATTTCTATAGTCAGAAGTAACCTCGTTAAAATCCTTAATTGTTCAATACAATTAGATGAATTCACTCTTTCAAATTCAATGTTAGATTACACACATAGTGTTTTCATAAATAAAAATATAACAAAATTGGAAGCATGGTCTTATATTCAAACAAAAGAAATAATAAAATCACATACAAAATATTATAATGCATTTCAAATAATTACTTTAACAACTTTTGTAATTATTATTATAATCATTTTATTGTATTTATAGTATAAATTTAAGAGCATACCAAGAAAACTAATTTAAATGTAATTATGTAAAACCAAAGTAAGAAACACCAAAAAATACAGAAATTGTAAACTACCCAACCAGATTAACATAGAAGAAAATGTAATGTTATACCCAAGACTATTCGCCTGAGAACAGGCCAAATTCAACGGATGGGGGAGTGACATATCTATGGCACCACTTACTCCTATGTACATGTACACACACCTGCACATACATGCTCAGATTACGAGACACCCTCTAAGAAATATGAACCCAAAACTTAATTGTCAACAAGCCAATGGAAAATTATCAAACTATAAGCAAGCCAGAGGAAAATTACCATGAAACAAAAAACCACAGTTTATAGACTAAACAATTAGAACAAGCCGCTGTTCAGACTATCGGCACGTTCCCACAATTCAGGATGCTCAGATTTCGGGACCCAAGTCTGGAGTCCAAAGTCCAATTTCAGAGAGTCACTCAATAGCAATTCCTACTCGACGTAATGCTCCTTTCAGAAACCTTACAAACAAATACAATTTTCAACTAGGAGGCTATTCATTCTACGAACCTAATCATCCAGATGGTGGGGCTCATGGTGGGACTGGGCACCACTCATAACAAATTTTCTAGAAAATACCTACAGGCCACATCTAAAAACATACAACTAAATACTGGCAACCAAATAACCCTAGCCGCCGTGTACTGCCCCCTCGCTTCACTATAGCTGAAGATGAGTTTATGCAGTTTTTCAACTCACTCATAGCAGCAGGAGCCTACAATGCCAAGCACACACACTGGAGATCTCATCTCGTGACTCCAAAAAGAAAGCAGCTGTCTTTCATCTGATCACTCGCCTGTCCTGTTTATTTTACTCCGACATCCAGGAACTTTGGAACAATCGTTAAAATTGACTTCACAGAAAACAAATTGGGTTAAGTACAGGAAATATATTAGCTCACACATTGAGCGATGTCCTCATCTCAACGATGAAGCCTTTGTTAATACACTGGAGTTTGTACTCGTCTCTGCAGCTCGAGTTTTAACACCTCAAACTACAAATACCCAATGCAACTAAAAAAAGACAAATCTACAAATCGAACAGCTCGTTTTCGAAAAGCGACGCTTACATCGATCCACAGATCGCCATCTGCTAGGCAAAGCTTAAGACATGCCTCACGTCAACTCCCTAAAGCTTAACAGCAGGAGGAAGCATTTTCCAGCGCCGCTACATAGAGCAAACGTCAACATCTAGTACGAAACACTCACTATGGAGAGCTCATCCAACTTTAAGCTCACCGAAAAAAACTGTGACGCCTATTAGGAATCCCATAGGTGGCTGGCCGCGCAGCGATGCAGACAGAGCCAGCACGCCACCTTAAAAATGTCTTCCAACCAAATCCTGTCACTACTGCGTTCACTTTGCCGACTTTACCATATGAGCCTCAGCTTGAACATAAGCCAATTGAGTTTCGCCCAAACGAAATCATTAACATCATCAAAAATCGGCTGAACCCGCAAAAATCCCTGGGCTGCGACCTTTTAAACCGCAAAATGATCACTACTGAGCTCCCATATTGCGCCGTTTGCACTATCACCCAGCTTTTCAATGCCATAGCTAGACTTGGCCACTATCCAGTGAGATGCAAAAAGTAAATTATAATAATGATAGCAAAGCCGGGAAAAGACCACAAAATCCCCACTTCGTATAGACCTATAAGCCTACTTTCATTCTTATCTAAACTCTTTGAAAAATGATAAAAACATACCTAAGAATACAGGAAGGAATTCCGTCGCATCAATTTGGGTTTCGTGAAAAGCACGGAACAATTGAGCAGGTCAACCGGATAACATCAGAAATTCGGAACGCGTTCAAAAACCGAAAGCACTTTATTGCCATACTTTTAGATGTCTCTCAAGCATTTGGTAGAGCTTGGCTAGAAGGTCTATTGTACAATATCAAGACAATGCTCCCCTATAACACCCACAAACTATTAGAATCTTACCTCTACGACTGAAAATTAGCTGTGAGGTGCACCACTGCTATAACTGACGATTTCACTATTGGAGCTGGAGTTCCTCAAGGTAGCGTGCTTGGGCCAACATTATATGTCCTCTAGACAGCAGACCTCCCGACAAGCACACGACTAACAACATCTACGTTTGCTGATGATACAGGTATTCTAAGCCGCTTAAAACGCCCGATGCAGACAACTGTGCAGCTAGTTCTTCATCTGGTCGATGTCGAAAAATAGCTATCAGATTGGCGAATTAAAGTGAACGAACGAAAATGCAAGGACGTTACGTTCACCCCAAACAGGCAAAGCTTCCTTCCACTCACGTTAAACAACAATCTACTCCCGCAAGCAAACAAAGTGACGTATCTAGGAGTACACCTTGACAGAAAACTCACATGGCGCCGGCACTTTAAAGCCGAAAGAATACACCTAAGTCTAAAAGCCAGCAGCCTTCATTGGCTTATCAACGATCGGTCTCCCCTTAGCCTTGAATAATAAGTCCTGCTACATAACTCGGTACTAAAACCTTTATGGATGTACGGCTCCCAGTTATGGGGGAATACCAGCAATAGCAATATTGACATAGTCCAGCGAGCTCAGTCGAAGATCCTGAGAACACTCACCAGGACTCCGCATCGAAAACATACATCGTGACATAAACATTTCACCAGTCAAAGAAGTGATCGCAGAACAGAAGGAAAAGTACTTTTGCAAGCTATCTTTGCACCCTTACCACCCGGCGAGAGGTCTAACAAGGTTGAGCAATTAATCACGTCTCCGTCGCAATGACTTACCCACCCAGCGACCGACTTGAGGCACGCGCATCCAGAATGCAGTCTTAGTATACTGTTAGTTAAATTTTAATGTTAAGATTCGTAAACTTATTGTTAGTCTCAAAATTATGAGAAGCTGCAATAAATAAAACCAATGTTAAAAAAAAAACAAGGAAGAACGCTATAGGCGATTATTTCGACTATCAGATACCCGTTACTCAGCTAAAGGGACCAATGGGAGTTGGAGATATGCAAGCAGCAAAGCGAGATTTTAATGCGCCACCTACCCGCGTTCTCAATAGATGGTTATGTGGGCGGCAGACAGATTTAAGCGTTATAGGCGTCAATCGATAGGTATTGTTAAAATTTTGTTTCTAGCATGAAAATTGTGTTAGCTACAGATTCGGGCCGGGCGAGTGAGTGATCAATCGATACGCATTGACGAGGCTAATGCACTTTAGTTAAAATTTTTTAACTAGCATGCAAATTGTGGGCGCCAAAGGCTTGGGCGGTTTGTGGGCGTGGCCACGGAATCTAAATATGAAATCTCAGTTCTCTATCTTTGATAGTTTCCGAGATATCTACGATCAAATTAACGATTTCTTGAAGTTTGTGGGCGTTAAAGAGGGCGTGTCAAATTTTTTTTTAGGTCAATCGATAGGTATTGATGAGAACAATACATTTCAGTTAAAATTGTTATTCTAGCATCAAAACTGTAGAAGCCACTGCTTTGGGCGGCTTGTGGGAGTGGCACCCTGCTGAAATAAACTTGCGCTGCGCAAGAAGCTCAGGAATCTGCATGCCAAATCCCAATATCCCAGCTCTTTTAGTTTCCGCGATCTCAACGTTCATACAGACAGACGGACATGGCTAGATCGACTCGGCTAGTGATCCAGATAAGGAATATATATACATTATGGGGTTGGAAACGCTTCCTTCAACGCTCGGAAAATTATTGCATTTCATTTTTTTTAATTTTTTAAAAAAATGATTTAAGTTATTAAATATTCTTTACTCCTCATGTGTTTCCTATTTCCTAAATGCGTCCGGTAACTAATAAATCCTTATAAAAAATTCAAATTATATTCATAATATTTAAAGGTATATCTAGACTTTGAGTCAAAATACATTATTATTTGCAGATTTAAAAAAAATAGTATTTTTGTTTATTAAAAAAAAAGCTTGTCAATACAAAAATCCTACAAAATATTGCATTTTGACTTATAGTTTTGGAACTTGTATTTAAAACTTATGAAATAATTGTGATTTTATGCGTTTTGTATAACCTTTTGTTTTTTTATTTCTGGTGTCTTTTGGCCGGCTAAAGGAAAATAAAAAGACTTTTCTTTCAATATATTTCAAGCCCTGTCGGAGCTATAAACGAAATTTTGGTGATCGGTGTCGGCTTTAAAGTTTATTCTGGTATGTGTGGGCTTATTGATAATGTGTAGCATTTCAAGAGTAAACATTTTTTGTAATTTGTTCATGTTGTATCGGTAAGCAACTTATAAAAAGAAAATAATTACAACAACTATCGGTTAGCATCAAATACACTCAATCATATGGTAAACCTCGATCATACGGTTAGTCAAGATGTCGGCCGCACTAAAAGCGTAGAGTATATGTTAAAAGAAGTTAAGATAAGAACCTCCTTGTTAGAATGTATTAGAATTAGACAACTACATTTTAACCGTTAAACTAGGATACTTGAACAAGCCTAATAACCCCTCACACACATATAATTCTTACATACATACATATAGTCGAAAGCGCCTTTGTTAAGTTCACCTGTAAATTCGATCCTGCGGCCGATTAAATGTCACTCAGAGTCAAGCGTCTCGCCTTTTCATAATATGGCGATCCTGCCTAACCTGGCAAGAAAGAATAAAATTACCACTGCTCACTTACTGGCAGTCCAGGAGGCATTAAGAAAATGTCCTTTGGATGGACCATAGCCACTCATATTTAAAGTATGTATTAAAATGATTTGCATGCATAGGATCCTTTTCGAGTGATTGGTTAGAGAAACCATTATCGTTCCTTCGTCGCTTGACTTTAGCTGGCGACCGACTAAAAAAGTCCAGGTGTATACATAATTGCACCTTGACAACCATGATTATTGTTTCTTTTTTAAGACTTATTATTATATGCAACCTGTTGCAAATTAAAGCTAATGTAGCGTAGACCTTCCAGACCTTCAGATAAATCTCCTATCGGGTGACATAAAAATGAAGGCCCGTTTCACAACAGAGTTAAGTTCTTAAGATCTTTTGGTAGCATTCTTCTCGATACAATATCGGCTGGGTTTAACTTGGTAAATATTTTCAGCCATTACTTTAGTGGTGCGATTTTCTGAATTTGTCCTACTTTGTTCACCACGAATGTATTTCATCTACATGCAACTCCACTTGAGACCGTACCGATCGACCGATCTCCCTTCTGGCTTGGATAAACAGCCTGCCTTGACCTAGCCGTGTGATGCCCTCTGGACCTCTGCTACCGGCGTCTCCATTCGAAGATTCCTGGTATCCCAATACCGAGTGTCTCGCGCTCCCTGTGGGCTCCCACGGTGCTGCTTTTTTGACGACTCGACTTGTTGCAGCTCCCTTGTAGTTTATTTGGTTGACTGAATGTTCACTTTGGTATCTTGACTGATCTTGACGGTTGGCTCCTGGTATCGTTAATTCTTGTCATCTGCGCACGGCACCACTTCAGGGTCCAAGGTCCGCGGTTTTATCGTTCGACCTTTCGCCCTCTGCACACGGCCCACACTAGGGTGCTAAGCGCGGCGATCTACCGTTAACCCTTCGCTCTTTCTCCCCAAGCTCTCTTTCCTCGTACTCTCCAAACTCTCTTGAGCCGAATTCTCCAAGCTCTCTCGTACTAAATTCTCTCGTATTAAATTCTCCAAACTCTCTTGAACTGAATTCTCTAAACTCTCTTAAACTGAATTTTCCAAACTCTCTCTTCCCGCAGTGCCGTTACTACGCGTATTCGCCGCGTATCTAGTAAGCGACCGGCCATCTGTTGCTGTTGCTGCTGAGATTTGTGGGGAGTTATTAAACTCTTCACATACCCCCCTTACATCGGGAAACATTTAAAAGGTCTGTCCTACAATCCGGCGTTTCCTTGCATATCCTAGCCTTCGAGTCCTCGTGATGCTCCTGCCGATTCCCCCGGCGCTCCCTCGTTGCTCCCTCGACGCTTTTAACTCCATTGAGTCTCCACAGCGCAGGTCGTCCTCCTCGTAGCAACTTCAAGTCTCCAGCGCCGATATTTCCATCTGTTCCCACTGGGCATCGATACCCATCAGCTATCTATAACCCAGCGGGGCTCCCCATGATATCGATACCCATCAGCTACCGATATCCTTGGGGTGGCGTTGCCACTTGCTCGCTGCGATATTCACCATGAACGATGTTTCCATTCTGCGGGTGCCCATCGATCGCACTATCGTCCAGTGCCAAACGACCGCCTATCGAGGAGCCCCCGTCCCTGGCTCATGGTGATTTTGCAACCTTCTTAGGTAAGTTTTCCCATTTCTTTACTCCTTTCTATCTCATCTTTTCTCTCTCCTTTCGTCTCCTTTTGTCTCCTTTCGTCCTCTCTCGCCCTTCACTCGTCCTCTGCCGGCTAAACCTGGCTCCAGGCCGGCAACACTCGAGAGCGGGTGCGGAGAGGACTTCGCATTTGGCTCGCAGCAGGTAAGTACTGTGGTGTTTGTTTTCTGCTTCCTGCATAAAACCCTTTTGCATTTCAGGTTGCAGGAGCCGCCATGTATGCCCCTCTCCGTAGTCAAACTCCACATCACGATCCTCAAACATGCGGCCCTCGAAAGCACCAGAAATGTGAGCCTTGACGAAGGCACCATCGCTGGGAGTGCGCTCAATGGTGCGGTCAATGCTGCCGTCCTGATTTGGACTTAGATCCTCGCCCTTCCAGCTCCGCATCTCCAGCTCAAAGATCAGAGTAGCATCCCGAAGAATGGCGGGCGGGCTGCCGGCAGCTCCGTAAGCGTAATTGGGAGCACATGTGAGGAAGCAGCGGTCGCCGATCTTCATGGTGGCCATCCCCTTGTCGAAGTCCTTGATAACATTGCCTTTGCCGAGCGGAAATTCGAAGGGCTTATTGCGGCCGACGCTGGAATCAAATTCCGTGCCGTCGACCAGGCGACCCGTATAGTGCAGGGACACAGTGCATCCGGTGTGTGGCGTCCCTGTGCCATTGCCCTCCTCCAGGATCTCCTTGAGCACGCCGCCCCTGACAAGTCGAATTTATTTCCTTCAGGCCTTCTTTTCATTCCTACCCAGATCTACGGTACAGCTCTCTGATCTGTGACGTCTTCCCCCTTCCTTCGGCAGACTGCTGATGCGTGTTCTCCGATCAGTCCCCATCGAGTCTTTGGACGCCCTGGTCTGCTCCCTTTGTGTTCTTGTCGTTCTCGTATATCCTTGCACCTTTGTAGTTGCCCTGTAGTATCCTTGGCGATGCCTTGGATATATAAGATAGGTCGATCCTTGGCGAGTCCCTAGATTTATCCTTGGAGTCACTTCGTAGTATCCCTTGCGAATCGATGCAGTTATCCTTGGAGTGTGTTTGTAGTATCCCTTGAGGATCCTTGAAGTTTTCCTTCGACTTTTTTGTCGTATCCTTTGAGAATCCTTGGACTTATCCTTGGACTCTTTTCGTAGTATCCTATGAGAATCCTTGGAGTTATCCTTGGAGTGTGTTCGTAGTATCCTTGGAGTTATTCTTGGACTCTTTCGTCGTATCCTTTGAGAACCCTTGGATTTATCCTTGGAGTATTTTCGTAGTATCCTTTGAGAATCCTTTGAGTTATCCTTGTAGTTTCAATGTTGTTTTGCGTCTGTTGTGTCTGCTTGTTGTAGCCGCTCGCTTATGTTTTCCGTTTTTTGCTGTTTCAGCTCGCTTACGTGGATGATCCGCACTTTCCGCTCTTTTCCTGTGTTTACGTGCCGTATTTTGCGGATTACTGTTGACGCAAAACCCATGAATTGGTAAGGTCCGTCGTATCTTGGGGCCAATTTTGCTGCGAACACTTCGGCCGCTTTTGATAAATGGTGTTAGTAGCTATTAAAAGCGGTTGCGGAGGATTTTTAGGCGGTTTTAAATGTATTTTGTATGAGTTGTTTTTAATTGCAAGCATATACTCATCCCATAATCAGTGTGTTTGGTATTCCACGGAATCCTCCCGTTTTATTGCATTTCAAATATTGTGACCCCTCGTTATCTTCTGAGAATGACCAGGAGAAAGTGAACGTGCGTACCCACGAACCCGAGTCTCACCCCTACCCTCGAGTCCTTACTCATGACTGCTTGTGCGCGAAGGTGTGAAATTTTAATTTTGTGAGTTTTGTTCAAAATGTGCCGTTTTTATTTTAGAACAGAGAAAATGATACTATTGGAAAGGGCTTGAAAAATGCTTTCCAATGATACCCATTTTTTTTATTTTTTTTTTTATTGAGGGTTTATACTAATTACGGTATCGGCGGTCATCGTCGTTTTTTGCCATTTTCAGTCGAGTAGTGGGAATATACGGGAGCGGCGGTTTTCGCAGCGGCGATTTGGACGCTGCCGAAACTGTCGCTGCGATGATCGCCGCTGTACGATTCCTTTTGAGGAGTGTGTCTAGGAAAAATGAGCTGAAGAATCACTTTAATGTTCAAATTGTATAATACTTATAGGATCACTTTTTAGGGCTGAGGATTTACACACTTGTTTGTGTCTACGATAAAGTTAGACGGGTGTGTATAGAAAAATTAGCTAGTGTGATCACTTTAAGGTTTATGTTTTAAATTTCTTATTGGGAACACTTTTCAGGGTTTATATCTAGAGGCCACCCAATAATATTTATGTATAGGGTAAGAAGCTTAGTTTTAAGAATTTCTTAAAACGATGCACTGAAGCGGAAAACTGTACCGAATTTAAAATTCTGCCTCCTCCCGTATATTCCCACTACTCGACTGAAAAAGGCAAAAAACGACGATGACCGCCGATACCGTAATTAGTATAAACCCTCACTAAAAAAAAATAAAAAACAAAATTGATATTTCTCAAGTCTGTGTTCTAAAATAAAAACTGCACATTTTGAACAAAACTCACAAAATTAAAATTTTACACCTTCGCGCACAAGCAGTCATGAGTAAGGACTCTAGATAGGGGGTGAGATTCAGGTTCATGGGTACGCACGTTCACTTTCTCCTGCTCATTCTCAGAAGATAACGAAAGGTCACAATATTTGAAATGCAATAAAACGGGAGGATTTTTTGGAATAGCAAACACACTGATTTTGGGACATTCAAAACCGCCTAAAAAACCTCCGCAACTGCTTTTAATAGCTTAGCTTAAGGCTTAGGAAATTCGAATAGTTGCATCGCGACATCTTTTACCAATGCTGGCCCGACCTTAACTGACCATTTATTCATATCTTGCTTTCACAGAGATTGCCTTTCCTTAACCTGTGTCAAAGTTGTACACCTTCGATATTTACCTACATTCTAACACCTCCTACACCGCGTTCACCCCCGATAACTTGTTATCAATCCTTGTGTTCGTTTTCCTTCTAATAACCATTCTACTGGGGTATTGGGCTGCTCCTTATATTCGAGAACCAATCGGATTGGTTCTAGGAGTACAACATGCCTGTATGCACTCCCTGTAGATGTCAACCTGTTAAGTGAACATTCTAGACTATAAAAATGACACCACTCAAATTGATCAGGATCAGTTCTTCAAATGCCTCAGTACTGTATTCTAATAAAATAGTTAAATCCACATCGGTCCTTGTAATCGCGCCTAACAATTCAAATCGTGTCTTTTATTTTTTTAAAGAGTGGGGGAAAATTGTAAACAACATCACAACAAATAACAATATATTTTTTGAATAAAAAAATTAAAACTAAAACCCTAAAAATTGAGTCATTCATTGCTTGTGATTTGTGCACCAAAAAAGTGTAGATGAGTGAGTTTGAAGCTCATTATGCTCAGTGCTTAAAGCCTCGGAATGCCTTCGAGGTTTAAATGTGTAAATCAAAAATAAGGTGTGACTTATGCTCTACCTTAGTTCATAATTATGAATTTGACGATCACTATCAAAATTGTAATGAACCTAAAAATGCATTCAATATTTTAATGAATGTTGAAAACGGCAACCACAAAACAGAAGGCAAAATCATCTGGACGATCATCCCACAACATCATCAAATGGTCTCAAACGGATGAGAATGGATAAGGGTAAAGAAGAACTCAACCAAAAAAAAAAGCTAAGATAAGCGAAAATAAAAAGGATTTAAAATTACAACTTTTATGCCCTACTTGTGGTGATAAATATCTTGCATCAAAGGAACGTCAACACATATTGACCGATAAGCATAAAAATGCATCAGCCAGAGAAGTAAAAAATAATTAATATATAATTCGTCTTAACTCACAAACTATTTTTCCTGTAAAATCATATCGAGTCAATAGTACAGTCCAAAACACTATTGACTTTAAAGATTTTTATCAGCATTGCCAACAAAATATAATTGAAATTATAAAGCATTGCATGATAGAATATAGAGCCAATAAATAACCTAAGAGTTTATGGTACCTATATTAAACAAACAGACGAAGGAGTTACTGTTGAAACAACAAAACATTTTGGGACTGCATATAAATCTGTATACCAAAATGAAAACATTATCGATGAACTAAATATGGCAGTAGATAGCTTATTAGCATCGAGCAGTGAGTTTCAAGAAAAAAACTCTGGTTGGGCAATAAAAAATTTCAATTATTTTGAAATTACTATAATCAAGCTAGAAAACATTCCTGCTAGCGGATACATACAGGCCCCGAAGAAAATAAGAGCCCGAAATGCACTTATAAACGTACAGAATACTGACGTATTTTGTTTCAAATGGTGCATACTTTCATAGCTAATAAAACTCATGAGAGTGCTACATTTACAACAGCAAAGGAGGAAAAGTATTCACGAGAGAAAATGACAAAGCCCACAACTTACCACTTTAATATTAATAACGAAATAATTTTATATGACGGAATTAGATTGCATTTTTCAGGAATCGAGTTTACAATCCCGAATAAAGGGATTATTCATTTCGAGAAAAATAATATAGATTTTAGTATAAATATTTGTGAGATCGATGCTGATAGTGACAAAATTATCGGTCCAACGTTTACAACTAAATGTATTCGAACTAACCACATAAATATATTGGGAATAAATAACGTAAACCAAGAAAGAATGCATTACGCTTACATTAAGAGTGTAAAAAGATTATGCTACTCACAGCATTCCAAGGCCAAATCAGGAGGATATTTTTGTGATAGGTTAGGTTAGGTAGGAGTGGTTGGAGACTAAATATTAGTCCCCTCACTTAGGCCACAATGGGCCCCTTGTGATACCACATGATCTCTGAAAGATCCGTTTCCCTAGCTCATGGGTTTTCTGCCTTCGCGAAGTATTCTGTTCTTCTTAAGAAACATAGCAGTTTTTGAATGCTTACGTCCTGAATGGCCGCAAGGTTCGGAAGTGTGTAGCTACCTATGGTTTGAAAGCGCTTTAGGTTATGCGCTGGGCAGAAGCATAGGAGGTGTTCGAAGCTCTCCTCTTCGTCTATCTCTTTGCAGCTGCGGCAGAAGTCGTGGTTACTTAGACCCAGCCTTATCGCATGAGTCCCTATAAGACAGTGGCCCGTGAGGGCATTTAGGAGAGTGGAGATGTCCTCCCTACTACATTGTAGGAGAGTTTTTGTTCTTTTCGTGTTATAGTTTGGCCATGTGAGTCTAGAATTGTGGCATGTTGAGATTGAGTTCCAACGGTTGTTGGAAAGAGTATACAATCTCTGCCTGAGAAGGAGCTTGCAGGTAGCCATGGGCATCCCTACCGTGTCCTTATCACGAAGGATATCGGCGGTTGTCCCCTGTCTTGCCAGCTCGTCTGCTATGCAGTTGCCCTCAATGTTGCGGTGCCCAGGCACCCAGATGAGGTTGATTCTCAGATGAGTGGCCATCTCGTTAAGAGATTTGCGGCATTCAGAGATTGTTTTTGAGCTCGTTGTGTAGGAGTCGAGGGCCCTGAGGGCAGCTTGACTATCCGAGAATATGAAGATATCACTGTCTTTATGTACAGACGTGTTCAGGTGGGTAGTGGCTTCCTGAATTGCCATCACTTCCGCTGCAGATGCCCAGCTTTTGGCAAGTAGGTCCAGGGGATGGAGATCGAGAATTGTGTT